ATGTGTTTTTTGTAATAAACATTTGTTATGGTCTTTACAATTAAGTGACTATTTGTTTTCATAAAGTATTTAAATTATTTTTTAGTATATTTTTCATATTAATTCATTAAATTATTTGTTTTATATCCTTTATAACACCTCGTAATGGATTTTCATATTTATCTTTTATTAACAATAAAACAAAACATTAATTAACTTTAATTTATTTGTTTTTTATTTACTTACTTTTAATTAAGCGAATTATTAAATTAAAAAATAATAATTTTAGTGATAACTGAATAATTTTCCATAAAATAAGTTATACTATAATTATATCCACTATTTATTACAGAATTCATTATCATTTTTTATATAGTGTTAAGAATTGAGACAAAAATGAATCTAATATTTAATGTTTAGTGAAAATTATAGGCAAACGTTTAATTCAAGATAATATTCAGTAAATACTGAATTCATTAATATAATGAATGAAATATTTTAAAGCAAATAAAATTAATCAAATATTTTGCATCAAAAAACGCTTCAAAATTGAGGAAATTTTATTAAAAAACTTTGAAATAAATTTATTTCTCTTTATTGCTTCTAAGAATAAAAACAATTAAATCAAACAAAAATTATTTGAATTTAATATTCAATATAATATATACTTATTATAAATATTATTAATAAAAGCGTCAAATTGTGAATATAATTAATAAATATTTGTTATTTAAATACAACTTATAAATCAATTGAATTATAAGATAACACAGAGTCTAACGTTTTCATTCGATGTCGAATTGTTTAGATTTCTAACAGCACCTGAAGAGTGGCCATCAGACAGAGTGACCTTAGTCTGGTCCGTGTGATCAACAGAGGCAGTGTCTCGATGGTGATGGTCACCCATCTTGTTCTCATTGATTAGTGTATTCTCAATAGTCTTAATGATGTCCCGGAATATGGGAACGACTCTCCAGTTATATTTAGCCGAACACTCAATATAACTGCATTTCCACTGCTTTTTAACCAAATTTGCCAACTCTTTGAAGGCTGGCGTCAGGTCTTCGTGAGCGGAGTGATGATGCAAATGGATGTGATGTACATGTTGATGATGGTGGTGATGCTTTTGGTGATGGTAGTGATCTTTATGCCCTCGTATGGTTGCCAATACATTCATACAGAGATCTGCTTTATTGCCAATAATCCAAACGGGAATGTTTTGCATATTTCGACTCTCAAAAAGTTGGTCGCGAATTACTATCCATTCAGTCAACCATTCGGTGGGCCATCGGTTCAGTCAAACACAATACAAAAATTTATTTTATTAATATATAAATCTATGATAACATATGAAACTCTTTAAAAGAAAATACTCTAGTATAATAAAAGCAATATTCTATAGGTTATATAGGAATATGACCAAGCATTTTCAAGTTATATGACAATAAATTGAATTTGTGGTTACAAAATAATTGGGCAATCTATATAGAAAGCATGGAATGAGCATGGAATATTAGCATGGTGATGCGGTGCTTGACTAGTGAGGGAGTAGTGATAGAGTGGTATACCTTTAACGTAATGGAAAGTGTAGGGAGAGGTGAGATCAAAGACAATGAGGTATCCGTGAGCGTTACGGAGGGCACACTGTCTGAAATCTGTCCACTCAAGTAAGGTGTTGGTGGGAAAGTAGTTGATCATGGGCATATCGATTATCTTAATTTGGTAGAGATTCGAGTTCATAATGATTGAGAAACTATAGGTATCGCCGCTCTGACGGGTTGGCCGATGACTGCCTTCGAAGTGACTATCGATGAACTGTTGGACTAAAGATGTTTTCCCGACACCACAACTCCCTAATACACACAGTTTAACCAAAGGAGGCATTTAACCGACGACCGGATGCATACTCTAAGCCCACTCTTGGCGTCAACATCGCCGCCGACGACTAGCACTTGGAGTACAGATAAGGGGTCTGAAGATGAGGTCAGTTGTGAGCGACATAACAGTAGCGTCACTGCTCTTCACATCTCAAGCATCAATCGACAAGAATTGGTGGCGAAAAGGCGAGTATCACATCATTTGCGGAGCAGTTTATGCGACTCGTTATGCCTTCAACACAATGGCCGACCAAAAAATCAATGATTTTGTGCTGTTTGGGAGTCTGTCTGAGAGCCACGACTTGTGTCTATCGATTTGTGTCCCATTATCTCAATCCCTATTATGTGCACAACATGTGAGATGGCATGTAATGTATAGCAATTCTCTTTCCCTATTTCTCTATTCATCAAATTCTATGCAATGAATCGCTAGATTCTCAACGCTTTCTCCTCTCCTCTCATGAATTTGACTTCTTATGAATTATTACTCTTTTGGTATAAATTCTGCTTTCAATGAATAGTTACAGAATCAGGGGTTTAATGCGGGCATCACTTCTGGTTTAATATTTAAAGCATTCAATGAATATTAATTGGATTAATTGGCGACAAAAGCCAATTCTCAATCAAAAACCTATAAACGATGTGTTAATTGAATAGAGTATAAGTTTTGTGCGCAAATCTGAGCCAACGCTAAGCCAAAGATCAATGAATTTGTGTAAACATATTATCGATGAGTGATTGAATCGACGAATACATTAATATAATAATAAATGCCGTAAATAAACAATAATTAAATTCTTAATTAATTTCATTATTTTTTCTTTTAAATTAATGTTTTTCTTGTAAATAAATGCAAAACTAAACTAAAAATTAATTAATGACTAGAACTGAATGAAGAGTTAAGAAAAATAATAAAATTGGTTTATAAATGGCTAACATTTTAAAATTATATAAAATTAATAAAAACTCTAAAAATCTTTTTATATATAATATCATGATTTGTGTGAAAAAACATTATAAATAAATTGAATAATAAATGAGAGGAACATATAGTGTGTTGTCTGTTAACTATAAATCGCCAAAAAACACATTTATTTAATGTTTTGTTCACAATATTCAGTCAAACGAGTCGATCGCGTTGTATATGAGATGACAGGACATGACTTGGGTTTCGATTCACCTAAACATCAAATATTCTGAGATTAAAACCATTAGAATTTTCGCATAATTAACAATACATTGAATCAATTCTGTCCCACACTTATCACACATATTAAACTATAATAACATTTGTTATAAATAAACGTTAGATAAATACAGTACTAATAAATAAAGATTTGTCTAAAACTAATTTAGAAACAAGTGATAGATTGAGCGCAGATTTGATGCAAATGAAACAAACATGGATACAGTACTCACTCCATCAGGCCTTCTATCAGTTCCCTTAAGTAAAAGGTCCGCAAATTCCGTTTCAAGTATTTGTCGCGCCTTTTGGTAAATATAAACAAATCAATGCATTGCAGATACAAAACACATGATATGAATAGGCATTTAATGAATTACCTGAACATTTTGTGTGGGGATTTGTAGAGCTAATGCCATTTGTAAGTCATCGAAAGTGTCATCCAGTGCTATGAGAGCGCCGTGAACTCCAGACTCGCCTAAATTATTCGAGTATTCTTTGAGTCCTACAGAATTGGTCCACCGAATGATCCGCTCGTTTGACCAAACGATCACATCTTTAAATCATAAATCAATACAACATTGAATGCAACCATTTATAAGATCTAGTGATGCAATTCATACCAATGATATCGTGTTCACAATTCCTTCGTCTCTCTTCCAGAAGAGTTTTATCGTAATTCAAACGCTTTAAGCAATTAATGCCGTATTGAAGACTAGTCCGATGGAAGGCGTCCACCATTTTTAAGTGAACTCTTAAGTCTTTTTTGGTCAAATGGTCTAACATTCTGGCGTCGACTAAACACTCCATAAACATAGACCTATATTGAGGTAACCCAAGAGCGGGCAGCCATTCGTTGCCAATCCATTCGTGATTCATTTCACCAAAAGCTAGACTCGTATGCGTGGGTTTGGCAGCCGATGGAGAGGTGAGGGCCACCATCTCTTGGATCGCGAGCCGCAGTTTCATTCGATGCAATGGATTACTGATTCCTATTTCCCGTTGTATTTCTGTGTCGGACAGCGCCGACATTATTGCCCCACTTTTGACATTAGCCCGACAGGCGGCCACATACCACGCCGGCATTCCCACCCATAGCTAATATCATATATACATATATATAAGGGTTAGTATTTGATTAAAGTGTGTCAATCAATGAATACAAACCTCGAGCCACGCGACTATTGTGGGGCCATTCCATAAGGCGAAAGGAGTGGACGCCTTCATGGCCTCCGCCAGTAATTCGTGTTTCTTTTTAGTCCTACGATCGAAGTCAGCCTTTTGTCCTCCGAGTGGAGACATGGGAGCAGTCAAATGGCTCATCGCATCGGGTAATGAAATGTAATCACTATTATCCACATAATTGGCATAAATAGGGTTTCCGATAATTCTATCGCTTTTCAGTTTTTCTCGCTTTGGACTCGAAAACAGTCGACTCACGAGCGAAGACTTAATGCCTTTCTTTTTAGGATTTTGTTGAGAAGACATTAGCTGTGAATAGTGTTGATGTTGTGAATGATTAGCTATTAATTGTTTATTTAATGAATCCATCGATGAATTGGCAGAACATGTCTGCAACTGATGGGCCAGAACTGACTCGTCTAATGAATTGCTAGTCGGAGGCGGCGGTCCATATAGTGAAGACCTTAATGGGTATCCGTTTAGTAAATATAACTCAATAATAATATAGCAATAATTACAAACCTCGGCAGAACATCTGGCGGAACGCCTGAAGCCCATGACATACTGGCCTTCTGTGGAATACCTTTATTATCATTTAACGCCTGAGCGACTCGTTGTAGTCGTAGAGCACGTGGTGTCGGAGGACTTGCATCGGAACTCATTTCCTGTTTAATAATAAATATTTAGTTTTTTAAAGAGTTTGTTAAACAAAAACAATTAATGAATGGCATTACGTGTGCATTTGAAGCTAAACTCTCGGATTGATGACTAGCGGAGGGAGAATATTGGGAGTATATGTGAGACACACCACCAGTTTGTGACAGAGCCGACGGACACGAACCGGCCTAACGTTCAAATATATTATACAATATAAGTTATTAATTATAAACAAAAATGAATGAATTAATAAATGTATGAATAAATATAAATTTGTTAGCAAAACAACAAATATGTCAATCATCATTAGATTAGTATAAATAAAGATTCAAAAACAATACATACGGCATAAAATTGGTTTAAGTATTCACGCGAAGGACTAATACGAGACTTGGGAGTCGATCGACCGCTTTGTGGCGGAGATATTCCCCTTTCGAAAGATCGCGTCAAAAGGCTCATCGAGTCAATAGAGCCCACCTGTGACTCCAACTCCTCTGCGCGCTGTTCTGTACTTTGTTTCTCCTCCTGAATGAGTCGGATCTCGTTGTTAATGGCGTCCAACTGTTGCTGAAGCATAATAGCCAGTGTCTGAGCGTCGGTGTGACCCGAAGGCGACAATATATCCATTTGATCAAAGATGCTATCGTTGTCGTCGGTTTGACTGCATTCAGTATCGCTCACATCGAATGCTTGGTTCACATTAGCGATAACTCTGGGCTCAATCTTTTCCCATTCCTGATCGAAGATCTGCTTATTTTTATTGCTGTCTTGAGATATGATTCTCTGATTTCGCGTATTCACAGAATTAATGGCATTTAAACCACTGGTGTTTATACTGTTCTGATTAATGGTTTGCATTTCAACTCTCATTTTTGTCAATTCTTGCAAAATCTTTCCCTTTTCGCCCTGAGTTTCGTCTAATAATTTATGAATTCTTTCTAATTCTTGAGACATTTGGTTCTTCTCTTCGAGGGCTGACATCCTTTCCTTCAAATGCAATTGAAGTCTTTCGTTAGATTCGGCCAATAATTTGTCAACAGTTGCCGAAAGTCTCTGATTGTGGTCTTCATTCATGCGTTCGCGCTGTCGGGCTCTCAACAGTTCGTTTGCCTTCTCTTCTAATTGCTGTTCCAATCGAGAAATACGCTCTTCGAGTGACAGTTTCCTGTCGTCGTCCATATCATAATCACTGGTTTCGGTGCCGTCTGTGAGGGTCTCGTGTTTATGTGTCAACTGTTCCATCTTCTGTTCAGTCAACTCGAGCCGTTCGGTTAGGGCTCTAATCTTGTCCTCCGAGAGCTTGAACTGCGCCTCTTTGCTCATCAACTCGTGCTCTAACTTCTCGTTCAAGTCGTGAAGTGATGTACTCTCTCTTTGAGCGTTTAAATAGCGTTTCTCAAGCGTTGCGATCCTCTCTTCCTGGTCCTCCTTCTGTGCCTTATTTTCCTTCAAATCGTTATTTAGTTTAACGTTTTCTTCTCTCGTTTGTGCAAATTCTTTGTCATTCTTAACAATCATTTCTTCGTATTCTTTCATTTTAGCGGTTAATTCTTGTAATTTGTTTCTAGAATTGATTAATTCATTGCTTTGTATTTCGACCAAAGAGTGAATCTCTTCATTCTTCTGGTCGTTGTCTAAGGCGTTGGAACTCAACTGTCCGTTCATTTGTATCGAAGACTCATTTATTTGTGATATGTTTTGGAGCTGTTGTTGAGTTTGTTGTTGAGTAGATTTAATCAACTCTTCGCTCGCTTTGGCCAACTCTTCCTCTAGAGAACCGATTTTATCCAAAGACACTCTCAGTCTTTCTCTCACTTTCTCGTCCAAAGCCTTGTGGTGTTCGAAGAGTGACTTCAATGCCTTCAACACTTCCACTTCAGATGAGACACCAGCCGGTGATTGTGCCTGTCGTTTGACAACAGTCATCCGCAGTGAACGCTCGTGTCGTGAGACCAGACATTCCAAGTGCTCCAGAAGTAACTAAAAGACAAACTATTAGACACCAGACAAAGATTGGCTCAAATCTAATGCCAAAGTATTACTCGAGTGTTATTGCGTTCGGCCTTTAATTCCTGTATCTCTTCGTCCTTTTCGAGGATATGTTCTCTCAATTGATTCAATTCTCGCGTCAAACTCGCGAACTCCTGAGTTGACGACAATAAATAAACATTAAGTTTAAGACATAAAGAGAGGGGAAAGTAGTGATGAAAGCGATCATTACTTGAGGCATATGTGAGACGAGTTGTCGTTGAAGTGAATCCCTTTCCTTCTCGATGTCTGTGAGCTTAGAAGAGGTGTCGTTGAGGTGTTCCTGAGTCTCACGCAATGTCTCCATAAGTTTGTCCCTTTCGTCCAACATATTGACCATAAGCTGCTCGAAGTTGGCCTCATCTCCGGTGAACTGACCGCTGCGTTGAGAGATACTGTCCTCAGAGATGGTGGGCATCACATCACACATCATATTCCACATGATTGGCACCGAAGAGTGAAGTGTCTTCACTGATGGATCAATCGATGGCTAATAGAGTAATGTGTTTGTCGTTATCGTTGTGTCAAATGTCAAGAGTTATCCAAAATATTATCACAAATCATATCATAATCTGAAGACAAATGCGAGAGAAAAACACTTTACCGTAAATATTGATACAAAACTAACAGTAAATTGTCTTTTCGTTAATTATTAATTAGACATCAGTTTTAATGTGTGTTTCAATCAAATCAAAACTCAATTCATAAATAAAATTCAAACTTAAAAACAGTAATTAAAAGATAACTTAAAAAACAATTAAAAATAACAAAAACAAAACATTGAATGAAAGGATTTGACCGACAAATGAGACATCAATTTGAATGCAAACGACAAATACATTCACAGATAATGTGTTACGAAATGTAATGAAATGAATGATTAAATGAATGAAACGATTAATGCATTTGTTTACCCATTATTTGATACAATCATTGGTTTTACGGTTAAGACTAGTTTTCTTCCCAATTATATCAATGAATGAATGAATGAATGAAAACATAAACTAATGCTTAAAACACAATATACTGTAAAACTCCATATTTGATACACTTTTCTCCGCTAAACAAACTCTCATTTGACACAAACAGTAGTAGAGGTCACAGCAGTCAACAAACTAACACTTTCCTCATCTCTCACTTCATCCACTTTTAACTATCATTTTATTAATAATTCCCTTAATTTTATTAGTATTTATAAATAATTAATTAATTGTTTATAATTGCATACAATTTAAGTGTATATTAAATCCGTAAATACAATACAGTATTAAATATGAGCTCAAATGCCGCACATCTCTATCGCTTGTCATTTAAAGGCACAGTATTTTTGAGTGATTTATGTTTTGTTTATTTTTGTTTTGGTTTCAAATGTTGTAAACATTAATCACTTGTTTTGTGAATTCAAACGTTTTGTTGATGTAATGAATGGTTAAATGGTTGACAAGACTTGTGCTCACATTTGAATCGCCGAAACACATGACAAGTGTTGAGACAATGAATATGAATACAGAGAATGGTTTGGATTTGATGTCGCGATTGAGACCATCGATGAGCCCATCATTGGATGGACCGGTGTTTGGGTCTCCCTTTGGACACCAATCGGACGACAAGTGTATGGTTTATGTGATCAACGGTTGCGACAGCTCTCACGCCGACACCAATGCCTTCATTCACTACTTATGCAAAACTGTTTTCAATCAATGCTCTAAACGCCGGACCACTTCTTCTGGCAATCGCTCAGCTGTGGATCAGTTGTCGGCCTCTTTTGATGAGCTCACTCCCGATGACAGCCAACCACTACAGTGTCGTCCACCAGAAGACAAGTCACACCAAACGCTTCCACTTATTCTTATATTTGATTCTTTTGATTCATTTAAATTAAGATCTTTTGTTGAAAACACAGACATCGAGAGTACGGATCAATTGAAAGATATGGATATTTATCAATGTTTAGATGACACCCAAATGTTGGCCTCTCTTTCCACACAATTGGCGCTAAACATGGCTTTTAACCCAAACTTACAATTAGTGGTTAAAATGCGGTTAAGAACGTTATAAAAGGGGTTTTAACACCTGGTTTATTTGTTTTATAAGTTTTCATTAGTCATTTCGGTTCGCATTGTATTAGTTGTCGAAAGAGTGAACAAAAGACAAATAAATGATTACTTAAACCGATGTTTGTTTGATTTGGTGGACATTAAATGTATTGATCGCAAACACATTGAGTACACGAGTAAACGACACGAGAATTCAGTAGTCATTGATATCGATGTCAATCAATCTAATCATTAACTTGTTTTGTAATACTGTAACTATATTTTGTAATAAATGTATATTAAATTGTTTGCACAGTATTATAACATTTATCATTTGATACATAATTAATAAATATTGTTATATTTGTTATAATCATTTTTAAAAACCATTAACTTTATAATAAAAACAATTTCATTAAAAGTTTGTTAAAGTTTTATTTTTTTATATAAAAATCACATGTTTTAAAACGTTTATCATTTTTACAGTAGATTTCAGAGATTTTTAAGAAATTATAAAAAGCGAACATTTATTTTATAATTAATTGGATTATATAAACAATGTTTTACTAGAGTTTTATAATAAATATATTTTACAACATAACTGTAAACAAATGACAGATTTCTGGGGAATGTTTTAAATAAACTTACAATTAAAATAAATTTCTATTTTTACAATGTATAGAAATTTTCAGCATTTTTCGGGTTAATTAATTATTGCTATTGAAAATTTGAAAAACAAAAACAGATATGGAATTATCAAAAAGACAGGAATATTTGTAATAATAATCATAATAATAACAATTGTGTTAATAATGTGTTGTATATATAAATGTTTAATATTTTACAAAATGAGAAATCATTGTATAAAATGTTTGAGATTTTGAGCCAAACATGTATAAAACCAAATCTTCTGAAAACATCTCTTAAAAATGAATCCAATTTCCTATTAATACAGTATATAAAAACCTCGCCGACGGAGCCATTAAAATGTGCTTTAGTTAGAGTTGCCGTTCATTAGTACGTGAAATCACAGTGTTTTTACATGTCTTACAATACAGTGTTTATTATGCAAATGAATCACATCTTAAGGTCTATGAAATCTATATAATTATAATAAAAGCATTATTAATAATAACATTATAATACATGGTATTAGGGAATCAAATACCTGGTCATATGACGACTGTCTTCATGGACTTCCATTTCCATACTTTTAAAATCATTCAATTCTTTCCTAATCGCTGCCTATATTTAACGTAAATAATGGTTGCATTTAATTATTTAATAATTTGAGTAAACAAACAATTATTACTTTATCTTTAGGCGTTAGTCGAGTCCATGGTTTATCAGCCCTGCGGTCGTAGTCGTTAGCCTGAGTTACCTCAACGTAATCATTAAAACGTATTATTTTCCTCTCTTTCAACTCTTCAATCGTCGGCCGGAAACTCAACTAAAAGTTTGATTAGTGTTAGATATAAATCAGTGAATAATCATTAAACTATTTGTTGTGTACTTTTCTAATAAGAGTCTGTTTTTTCTTTTCCTTATCCAAAAGCATTTCGTCAGCCGTTTGTTGTTTAAGAATATTTCTTTGTTCCAACTCTTCAGCAGTGGGTCTAAGGCTTAGCCGACGCGAGAGCTTCGTTCCAATCGCTTCTCGTGTGTCTAGTCTTTCGCATTCAGACATCACAGGAATTATGTTCTTATCAATCAGTTCTTGTTTGTCAGGTCTTTGCGCCAGTTTTATGGCCAAAGAATCCTTTCGTGCTATCTTTGCGGCCACACGTCCTGTCATTGAGTAATCATTTATTTTTAACGTACTGTTAATTTATTTAACAAATCATATTCTATATTAACATATTGCATGTCTACATAACTTAACAATACACCACTTAATTTAAATATATTAAATTCTATGCCATTATTACATATAAATTCTGGTATTGAATAACTTCTGATATTGAAATCTTTCCTAAAATACATATTTTTTAAATAAATATCTGAAAATCTTAGTCTTTAGCTCAAATTCAATGTGTTTTATTACAACTGAGGATCATTTGTATTCCCATTAGATTCTATTATTTATAAATCTAAATAACTCTTCAAACTTTATGCTTTGCAGTTTTATTTTGTAAAACATGTTTTAAATTAAACCATATTTAGTTAAAATCTAAATATTTTTTGTTTGTTTTTATAATACGTTTGATTACTATTTATGAATTAAAATGAATATAAAAGTAATCGACAATAATAGGTAACAAACCTTCTTCGTCGTCGCCGTAATAGTCTTTCCAATTGATATTTCCATCGCTGTCTGAATCTGAATCCGAGTCAGCACTAGTGCTGCACACAATTGCCGGCGCTTTTCGAGTGTGGCTTTCATTTGTAAATTTAGTTCTGTTGTTGTGTTGAGAAAAGGGATGATTCTCTTTGTTTTCGGCACCAAAACCACACGCATTAAAGTGTTGAATCTTCGACATCACAGACCTATGCCATACAAATACAACACATTTCACATTTCACTCTTCCTATTATGTCATTTCATATATTGTGTGTGTGTTTCGCAAATTGATCATGTGCTTAATCACTAGTCATTATGATTCCTACTATAATATAATGCATTTAAATTCATTCAATTATTTGCATTCATTGGACACCAGTTCGAGAGTTATGTGCATTCATTAGATAGTGATTCTATAGACTGCTATAAATGCAATCATAATATGTAGAGATGTTATGGTGAAAGTTTGGAAACGTTTAGCCCAAAATTTAGGGAACGTTTAGGGGTCTCGATCAACATTTAGGTTAAATTTTCAACCACTATATATTAGCAACATCAATATTACAAATATTTACTAAATAAATCACTAATTTGTGTAATTTAAACTAAACTGACAACTATTATCAAAAAGTAATTTATTTAAATAATTAACAGAATACTTAATTAATTGTAAATTCATTATTAATTTTGTAGTATAGAATTTTAGAATTCCTACTTCAAGTAAAATATTCGCAGCATACAGTATATAACAGAATTTGCAAGAATCTTTAATTTTGAAATATTTAAAGAACCAATAATAATTTTCGTAATTATTTTAAGTGGAAAAAGTTTTAATTAGTTTTATGTTACATATTTCACCACATTAAAAGTATCTAGTTAAATTGCATATGAAAATTTCACATTATTATGAAAATTTAGCCCAACATTTCAAAATTTAGCCTAAATGAAATGTTCATATGAAAATGCCATTGAAATTTTCACCCCTAATTATACAACATCTTTATTTTTAAATAAATTAATTTTATAGACAATCGTTGAATATATTTAGGATTACATAAGATATCATTGCTATTAAATTGAATAATAAGGATTATAGTGAAATGCAGCTTCATTCACTCAATATTATAATTTAATTGATAAATGGTTAAATAATTATGATTCTATAATATAGTAAATATAGCAAAATGTAATGTAATATTAATTTGCAACATTTATATAACTCATAGTATTTGACTTTTACGTCCAATTATTAGGTATTCATTTAAGTTTATAATTATTGTATTTTCGACTATAATTTATAGTACAGTATATTTATTTTGAGAAAAGTGGTAAAATGCGAGAAAATATTTTCGCGATATTAATTACAATCAATGCAAACATTATAAACGATTGATTTCTCTTTAACTCTTTAATCGCATAAAAATAGTTAAATTCAATGAATCGTTTCAATAATGTTATAATTATTGCTAACACACTGTATATTAATATAAGGTACTGTATGTTAAAATGATAAAATAAAGGGTAAATTAGTAATAATAAACTATAGTCTGAATTACATTAAATTGTGTAATATTTCAAACGTTTAGCTGTGAATGAAATGAAGTGATAAACGAAATTATTGTCGGAAATAGTTATGCAATAAATATTTGTTTCAATTGATATGCTTTACAAATGTTTTTCTCGCATGTATTACATAGGCTTCAAAACATTTGGACGAATGACTCATACGATTAGGAATTAAATTTCAGTAATTAATTACATTTTTACGTCAATATTTCAAAATATACTAAAAATATATGAGAAAATATTTAATCAAAATATTGTGTTTAAATTTAAATTTTGAAACGCGCATAACATATACAAGTCATGTAACTTTATATGATTTATAGCATTGTATTGACATTTTACAAATAAAAATGTGTTGAAATGTTAAGACTTACCCGAAAACATGGTTTTGGTCGGTGAGGGGTGAGTTGTGTTGTGCAGATGTGACCACAATTTGCATCGGCATCTGTTGTATGGAATTATATGTATAGCGAGGCAAAGGTTGAGGTCTGATTAATACGGGCGAAGAGGTGGATGTGTTGGTGTGATTGGGTTGGTTGGGCTGATTGGCGGGCACTTGCGTATTGTTGCCCCCCTTCTGGCCGTCACTCTCATCGCTAGTGATTCGGGCCTTTTTGAGGGCACTTTTCTTAGGGACGGCCGACAGTTGCGGTTCATTGATGGGCACCTCTTCGGCCACAGAAATGGGTTCATTCGCGAAATGACTATGAATTACACATATTGGCAGAGAAGACATTTGTGGCACTTCTGTACTGTTTGTTCTTTGCATTTGTGGATAATTGATATCATTAGTACTTAAATCCATATTCGAGTCGTTGTCTTCATTGTATGTATTATTAAAAGAGGAATCAATGGTTATGTTGTTTGTGTTGTAAGTGTTGTGAACCGAATCGGAGAACATTCGGGGCGGAGGTATGGGTCCGATGTCACTGAACTGAAGCTCATTTGCCATCGAGTGGTTTGTATTCAATTGCATAACACATTTATTTACACTATTATTTATACTATTTATGTTATACTTGTTATTGTTTTTCAATTCATTACTCGTTGACATCGACGACACCGAAGAGCTGTCGGAGATAATCGATGAGCCGGTGGTCGACGTTATTATATGTATTGTTTCTACAGAGAAATTAAACAAAAAGTATTTTTATTATAAAACAAATAATTGTTGCAAAATCTTATCAAATAATGCATTCATTTATCGCTAAAATGCAAACCTTTAGCATTTGGATGAATATTATTGTCGTCACTGTTATTAAGTCTCACGTTATCACTAATGACATGATTTTTGTCATTCTTCTCAGACTTATTATCCAAAGACGTTCTCTTCTTATTGATGGATGAGTTTCCGAAGTGATGGTTATTCTTAGCGATTGCGACCAAAGGTGTGGCGATCGCACCCTTCAGATAACCGCTTAATGATATGGGAATCACAGACTTGGATGTCGTCGACACCTTATCTGTGGTTGAATTGGATGTCTGGCATGTAATCCCTGATGTGATGGTCACTGTTGTGGGCAATGACTGCACCTCTTTGTTCGACAATTCATAGTCTTTCAAACCATTTATATTATTAGAAATTAATTCATTTTTTGTCATTTCGTCTGAAAAATAACAATACATTTACAAAACAACTCATTAACCGCTAAATCAAATCAATACATACTTTTTTCGGGCAAAAGTACTCCTCTTTGGATGAGATCTGCTTTTGTGGATCGCATTGATATTCTTCTCTCCAAAGCTATGGCAAAGAGAATGAAAGATATGATGAGGAATGGGATGAAAGAGTGGTTTTGTGCTAACCTTTGGAAGTGTTTTCAAATTTGTCGGATTTCTTCTTTCGTTTCCATTTCCAGGGCTTAAAGATTTTGGCGAAAGAGAAACGACTTGTGTTTGTCTTTTGCGGTGACTTATTGTGGGAACCATTGCTTCCATTCATACCATTAGTAGATGCAGTCATCGACGGCTCGTTTGGCATAACATTTGATCCGTATTTCAAAGACAAACAGTTTATCTGATTTTCGTTTGCATTCAGATGTGAACTCATATTACAAATGGCTTTTCATCTCATTTTCAAATCAATACAAAAAACTTTCAATTTTTTGTCCTTTTGTTTACAAATGAAACAGATTTTGTGTTTTGAACCAAAAAATGGGTTAAAATATGGAAATCATTGAAACGAATGGCAATTGAATTGAAAAACAAATTTCTAATAATTGAAACACAAATCAATTTGAAGATTAAAACAGTCACTCATTTGTTGACAAACATTGAAATCAATTAATTTCTTACAAATGAAATTATTTCGCAAAATATATCGATATTTGTATTGAAAACAGTATTAAAACAATTGATTTCATAACAGATATATTGATGTGTTTTTCACTGCGATTTCGTGTAAACACTTGTCATTCAATTAAACACTTATTAGTAATAATTGTGTGAAAATAAAACACATATTAATATATAGTAATTGTAAACATATATCAAATAATGATTAAAACATTTAATGAATGCTAAACACAATATAACATAACATTAATAACACTATTATTACTATTAATACTATAGGAGTGTCACTAAAGAAAGTAATCATTCAATACAACCATTGATTCACTAAAAGCCTTAACACTCTCTATAATAATATGAATACAACTGTAATATTGTATCACAAATACCTTACCACTAGACGTGAGCACTCATTCAAAACAACCAACCCATGAGTCCGACCCAACTTATGTCAATCACTGTACAAATCATCTATGAATAGACATTTCTCTGTTAAATTGCCCTAAAATGCAATGAATGATAGTTTAGAAAATTAAGCTAAAATTGAATCCAATATTTGACATTTAATGTGAAATGCATGTAAAAGTAATGTCTGTCCCAATGGACTGGTAATGGGCTTAAATCCGATTAATGTGCTTACCTATAGGGCACTAACCCAACGACTGGAGTGCCATCACTCGCAATGCATTCATAATCTCTTACTTTTAATTCAATTAAATTGTATCAAAATTATCCAAATATGACGTAACCTTTACCACAAATAATTGAATATAACTTTTATATTATTAATACTTTAATTTCACTTAATTATAAGAAGATTATAATCAATTCAGACATTGTTTCGTAACAAACCGACAAATGGTCTCAATTTTTAAAAATGTTATCACAGAATGAAATGACATTTCAAGTGAAAAAATAATTTAGTTGTTCCCAGAATTTGAAACATATTTTTATTAAACATTTCTTTTTATTTTATTTAAAAAAATTATTTCTATATTACAGATATTCAAATCGATTTGTGTTTTGTTTTGCAAATTATTGCTTAATTGTAAAAATATTAATAAATGTACGGTTTTGTGACTACTCTTTGACTGAAAGATTCATTTCTATAATCTTAAAAAATTGAAATATAATTTCAGTCGTAAATGTATAGAAAAAATGATTGAAATATTTGTAAAAAAAAAGTTTAATGAGTGAAACATGTAGTGATGAATCAGTTGTGTTTAAGGCACTGATTAACAAATATTTAGATTTCTATAGAAATTACAATAGATTTGGCAAATGATTGCATCAAATAATATAAAAAATACATTTTGATAACATCTCATCTAATGTTTTAAATAAATATTAATATAAATATACAATATTTTTAATCGAAAGGCACGGATATATGGATTAAGACTTTTTATTATTATTGCTGTTATTGTTGGGCACTATTGGCGGTAATGTCGACGACTTCATTGACGCCGACTTTACTAAACACTGAGTACTCGAGGATCTAAGAGAAACAAAAATCACTGCTTATGTCTGCGAACACATGGAATACGTTTGGAGCCAAATGTGGTACAAACCTAAGAGACTTGGAGTCTTGATTGGCGGCGTAACCGCATTTCTCAATCTTTTTCCTCAACTTCTGGACCCATTGTTGTTGCTCTTCGAGAGAAGTCGCTAATAATAACAACTCTTTAGCTGTGTTTGGGTCGTAATTGACTTTACAGGGGGCGACCACCCCTTCCTGCTTATCCAAGTGCTCTCTGTGCACTTTCACTCTACAACCTGTCAAACCAATGCAACAGTAATGTAATGTCAATTATATCACACATTCATTCAATTTATTGTAAACAACACTCACGTCTACACTCGAGAGCGGGCGGGGGTTTAAACATATGCCACAGAGGTTTGGGACAGACCTCACAAGTGGTGGGCATATGATAACTAATTGGAATGAAATCGTGTCCCTTGTGCTCAACTGTCGTCGGCTGTATTGATGGCAATAATGGCATTTTAACCC